CAGTCAAGTTGAGAGTCAAAGTAAGAACACAACACAAAATTAATTCAAGATGGTAAAGACTTAAATGTAATGCATGAAACCATAAAAATTCTAGAAGAAAATATAGGAAAAGTTCTCTCAGACATCAGCCTAGGTAAAGAATTTGTGACTAAGACACCAAAGGCAAATATAGCAACAACCAAAATAAATAAATGGGACTTAATCAAATTAAAAAACTTCTGCACAGCAAAGGAAATAATCAACAGAGTGAATACATAACCTACAGAATGGGGAAAGTATTCTCAAACTGTACACTGACAAAAAACTGATATCCAAAATCTACAATAACTCAAACAAATCAGCAAGAAAATGCAAACAACCCCATCAAAAACTGGGCAAAAGACATGAACAGAAGTTTTTTGAAAGAAGGTAGAAAAATGGCCAAGAAACATATGAAAAAATGTTCAATATCACTAATCATGAGGAAAATGCAAATTAAAACTACAATGAGTTACCACATTACCCCTATGAAAATGGCCATTATTAAAAAGTCCAAAACCAATAAAGGCTGGAATGGATGAAGAGAAAAAGTAATATTTATAAACTGTTGGTGAGACTGCAAATTAGTACAACCTCTATGGAAAACAGCGTGGATATTACTCAAAGAAATAAATGTAGACCTACCATTCAATCCAGCAATCCCACTACTGGGTATCTACCCAAAGAAAATGAAATCATCTTACGAAAATATACCTGCACTCAAATGTTTATTGCAGCACAATTCACAATTGCAAGGATGTGGAATCAATCTAAGTGCCCTTCAATTCATAAGCAGATAATGAAAGTGTGGTGCGTGTGTGTGTATATATACACACACACACACAAATATATATACATACACACACACCATGGAGTACTATTCAGCCATAAAAAGGAATGAAATAATGTCATTTGCAGCAATGTAGAGGGAACTGGGGACCCCTATCCTAAGTGAAGTATCTCAGGAATGGAAAACCAAACACCGTATGTTCTCACCAATAAGTGGAAGCTAATACATGGGTACACAGGAGGACAAAGCCATATAAAGAACATGAGAAAGCCATATAAACAACATGAGAAACCAAGAAGGGGTTAGGGTGGGAGGGTGGTTGGGGGATAAAAACATGACCACTGGGGACACTGAACACTATTATGGTGATGAGCACACCAAATGTTCTGACTTAGGCCATATACAAGATTTCCATGTAATAAAACACTTGTACTCCTTATTAGTATTTTGAAATTAAAAATAAGGTAAATTTTTAAAAATATGTTTTATATATACCATGGTGTACTACTCAGCCATAAAAAGGAATGAAATAATGCCATTTGCAGCAACATGGATGGAATTTGAGACCATTATCCTAAATGAAGTACCTCATGAATGGACACACACCATATGTTCTCACTTATGAGTAGGAGTGCAATGATGGGTACGCATGGTCATATAGTGGTGTAAAGGACATTGGAAAGTAAGAAAAAGGGAGGGTGGGAGGAGGGTGAGGAATAAAAACTTACTCACCAAGTATAATATACACCATTCTGGTGATAGGAACACTAAAAGCCCTGACTTCAGCATTATACAATTCATCTATGTAAAAAGAACACTTATACTGCCTACTATTTTGAAATAAAAATTATTTTTTTAAATGTGGTATATAAAAAAACTAAACTTCTGATACATGCTACACCATGGATAAACCTTGGAAACATTATGCTATGTGAAATAATATGGCCAGAATAAGCCAGACACAAAAACACAAATATTGTTTGATTTTACTTCTATAAAATAATCTAGAATAGGAAGATTCACAGAGATGGAATATAGATTAGATGTTACTAGAGGCTAAGAAGAGAGGGGATGGGAAATTATTGCTTAATGAGTATTTCTATTTGGATGATGAAAATATTTTAAAAATAGGTAATGCGATGGTTGCACAACATTGTGCATATAAATTAACACTGTTACATTGTAGTCTGGATTGAGGTGTGCCCCATGATTTTTATTTCCACACAACATATTACACATACTTGGCACTCAACAAAATGCATTAAATGAATATTTGACTGCCCATCTCCTTCTCACTGTCATTCCCTGCCCTGGCCTACTACACTTTCTTTCCCTTGATATCTTTTACTTCAAAAGTTCATAAAATTCTATTCTTGGCATACAACAAAAATATTCAAAGGAAATTTCTATTTTAAATTTAAATAAACGGTTCATTATAGAACATGTATGAATTAAACCGACATATTGTTGCAGAAATTTAATTAAAAACAAAGTCTTCTCCCAACCCAGATATTCTCTCCATAAAAGTAGTAGAGGGGGAAAAAAACCATTTATTACTGAATAAGCATTAAACCAGAATGTGATGTGCATCGCAGTGGATCCACTGAGAGACTGCAAAGACAGAAAGAAAGCTCACCCTTACATATAGACTATTTTCTGTAAGCATATGCGACCTATTTTCTGTATGTTTTCAAGATAAACAGTGACTAGTCCTCAAGCAAGAGGACTTGACAATATTTGTCACACCTAATTCATCCTACTTTACCTGGTAATTGGGGTGACCATCTGTGTTGGTTAATTAGCTTTATCCAGAGGAAAAGAAAATTCCTCATCTCTATATGGTAGAAGGTAGTTTTGCACCTTGCCCAGGGAAGTTAGGCTCCTACCCTCCCACAGAAACTGAGAGATAGCTGCACTATCTCCCTTGATGTTTGCATTTCAAAGAGATGGCTCCCAGCTTCTTGACAAAGACAGTCCTGGGTCATAGTGCTCACAAAAGGCCTAGCCAGTCTTCAAAAAGGTTTATATACATTTCAAAGAAATACAAAAATATTTAAGATTTTCTAAGGTAAATGCTCCAATAAAAAAGGAAGGGAAAGCTCTTCCCCATTTTTAACAGGGAGAATTAAGTATCTTATTTTTAATTTGCATTTGTAAGAAATACAACATATATACATATTTTATTTTTCTACATCTAGAAACTAACCTCCAAGATCTCAGAGTGACGCTTGAGATGACCAATACACCTACTTTGGTGTGAATTGTATTTTTTGCACTGATTTTTTTCAATTCCTGAAGGAGCTCACAATCTAACCAGGAAAAAAAAAATGTAGCACAATGAATTGTTATTTTGCTTTAATAACAGACATGTAAGCAATATGCTATGGATAGAGAGAGGTGGGAGCAGTTAAATTGGCCTGGGAAGTTCAAGGAAAGCTCCACATAAGAGGTTAAAGCACAATCTAGGCAGAGAGAGGACCAGGAGCTTAAGAGAGGATTTATGGAAAGCTCTGGCACATTAGAGGAATGGATTACAAATTCCAGGAGAGTTGTATCAGAATTACCTAGAGAGTTTTTTAAAAATATGGATACTGTGACTCTATATCACAGTCAGAAATTCTGGGAGATGGTCCCAGAAATCTGTATGTTAATATCCACTCATTTTGACTTCAATGTCCACACCAGTTTGGGAAACATTGCATTAGGAACTGTGCTTGCAACTTGGAACCCAGTGCAGATGAGAAGTGTGAGAGGCTAGCAGAGCTAGATAATGAAAAGCTTTGTGGGATGTCCCTAAAGAGGTTGAATTTTATCCTGATAGTTTCCGGCCAAGACTTGTCGTTAATTTCCAGCCAAGCTGGGCATTAAAAGCCCCGTGAGATTGGAGGAAGAAAGAAAATAAGACGGAAAAAGAGTCAGGATTGAAATGTGACTGTTAATTTAGGCTCTCATCCTTCCTCACCAGCCAGGGGCAAGCTGTTTCTGCTACTTTAACTGTTTTCTGTCCTGGCAAGGACAAAGCACAATTTATTAGAAAAGACTTTTCCAAGGGAAACATTTTGCTTCCAGCTGTGAATCTGCCTGCTGTTCTTAGAGTCACAAAGAACCCTCTGCTGGTAGACATGGTCGCTGTTTCTATGTTTTGGAAATTATGAGTGAAGACCACCTTTCTTTTCCCAATCTGTGGAATAGATTATGTATACAGGAAAATATGTTGTATAAGAGATTTGTTCAAGAGAGACACCTCCTACTTTACACATATCAATTATGACTGAAGGAAGGAATCTACTGCATATAAAAATACAATATATATATATATATGTTTAAAATGTACAAGAAGGTAAACAGTGACATTCTAATACCTATGGAGAGTGAGTGCTTAAGATTTTCTAAAATAATGTTATGAGCTAAAATGGCATTGGAACTTCTTAGAGCACTCTAGCTGTTACTAGGACTGCTTATTGCCTGGTTTCTCAACCTCAGCATTATTGACAGTTTGGACTAGACAATTTTTTTTTATTGCGGGAACTGTCCTGTGTATTATAGGATGTTCATCAGGAGCTCTGGCCACTAACCATTAGATGCCAGATGCACACTTCCCCAGCTATGGCAACTAAAAGTGTCACAGACATTGTCAAATATCTCCTGAACTGGAGGAGGCCAAAATTGCCCCTGGTTGAGAACCAATGGTTTATTAGTAACATGTGAAGTTGAGATATATTCTGCAATGTCATTAAACCCTTACATATAGAGGAACTAAGTCTAGCCCTGTTCCAATTTATGAAACTAAATTCCGCCTAAATCCAATGATGTTAATGCAATCATAAATAATTCTACCCATAAGCAGCCTAATGATTAAGGAGGTGAGGCTTGAAGATAGACTTTCATAAAAAGCTTAATGACACATATGTCATTCATTTCTTTCCAAGTATTAAATTGTATCTCAGTGTCCTCAGAGTTAATATACCTGAAAAACCATCACTAATGTATTGCTTTTTGGTTCTCTAATGACTTGGCTCGGTGTAAAACCTCGTGGCCCTCAGAGATAGGATAAAACAAAAGCATCCTCCACATAAAATTTCTATGCATTCTATGGACTCTCACAAAACTTATGAAGTCAGGGTCTTCAAACTCCTAATATTGTGGATTTGTAGTGCCTCCTCTCACTCATGGCCCTCACCTATCTTTGCAGAATTTGGGATTCATTTTTCTCTGGAATGATCATCCTTGGACCTAAAGGTAAATTTGGCTCTAAAAAGAATCAGAGAACAACTAACCTCTAACCTTCTCTGAGTCTAACTTCTATAGATCTCATTTCAAGTTTTTGCCTCTAAAGAGTCTGAAATCTAACATACTTATTTAAATTTGACAGTAAATACTGGCACCTTCCCCAGTGTTCATAACTCTGTTTCTAAATGTATTTTCAGTGGCATATTGCTTGAGTAAAATTTATATATTCTATATTTATAAAAACAACTTAACTCTCCAACAGTAAGGGGATGGTTAAATAAACTACTCCACATTCATATACAACCATTTAAAAATCACGGGAGTAATAAAATTAATGCTATGTTTGTGATATAAAGTGGAAGTTATAAAAGCAACATAGAAAGTGTGTAGTATGATTTTGATTTGGTAAAATCAAATATATACATATATTTGATATATACATATGATTGAAAAAAACATTTTACCTATCAAATTGACAAATATTTCAATTCACATTTATTTTAGATTTTTCTTATGCTGTTTTTAAGGCCTCCACAACAGAAATGAAGAAGGAACCTGCATGTTCAGAGCAACACAGACCTACTGCCCCCTAGACACCTCCCTCAGCCTCCCAACTTAAGGTGAACATCTGCACCCATCATTCTTACTGTTTTCAGTACCAACAAGCACTGCATACCCTTCATCGCCAGCCAGATGTCTCCATCTGGTTCTGTCTATCCTCTTTGACAACTAATCTCCTAAAACTTTCTCATAATTCATTTGAGAACTCAAGGTCAATCATCAGTAAAAGCCCCCTCTATTGTCAGCCACTTCTATAGACATTCTTTTCACCTTTTCGCTCTAACGGGAATCTGGCTCTCTCCCGTGGACACCATTGCTTAAATCCACTCAAGTGGAAATTGAGTTCAGCCTTCTATCTCTTGTACCTCTCAGCTTGGAGCTGGACTAAGTGTCCTTTTATATCACATCATTGACAAACCACTGTGCCATCCTTCTCCCTAAAGACTTGCTAATCCCTTAAAGTATATGCTTTCCAAAGTGTGCTACCCACTACCCTCACTAAGCGGTAATTATTTACAGTGTTCCTAGTCATAATATTCATCAGTTCTGTGATTTTATACTAGCATCAATCATTTTCATCATTCTGTGCATAAACCCATCCCCCTCTATCATTACCTAACCTCAACAACTCTGGCCAAATCCAACTTTCTCATATACACCTGGAATACCGAATAGAGTTGTGAATCTACTGTATTGGAAGAAGAAAATATAATACTTTTTTTAGTGGAGGCTGAAAGTGTTAATCAGAGAATTTAGGGTCAGCATTATGTATAGCGGTTCAAAAGTAGAAAGGCCCTATTTTCGACAATAAAGGAGTTAGAAGCAAAACAAAATGATACGGAAACAATTTCAGACTTTATGTTCTTTTGGCTACAAACAGAGGTGATCAAAGAACACAGCCGTGTGCCAACAAATTGCGCAAAGGATGCACATGAGCCTGGATGATGAGACTGGATGTATGTATCTCAGTCCATTCTGCATTGTTGTAAAAGAACTTAGACTGGATAATTTATAAAGAAATGAGGTTTATTTGGCCCATGGTTCTGCAGGCTGTACAGGAAGCATAACACCGGCATCTGCTTCTAGTGAGGGCTTCGGGGAGCTTCTGATCAAGGCAGAAGGTGAAGGGGGAGCAGATGTGTCAAGTGGCAAGAGAAGGAGCAAGAGAGAGGGTGGTGGTGCCAGGCTCTTATAAACAACCATATCTCATGTGAACTAATAGGATGAGAACTTACTATTACCTCAGGAGGGCACCAAGCCATTCATGAAGAACCCACCCTATGACCTAAACACCCCCCACCTCCAACACTGGGGATCAAATTTCAACATGAGATTTGGAAAGGACAAACACCCAAACTATATCAACATGAAACTGTGCAAATAAAATATCCAGTCATTAAAGGCAGCCTTAGTCATAATCTATTAATAACTAGGTCCACCTTGAGAGAGAGTCTGAACTGGAATTTGGGAAGGGTTTGAGTAAGTAGCAAAGGATAATTTTCTAAGAGGATGATCTGAGGCGGTAAGCAAAAATTATGTTGCTGATCTGAGATTGAATATTTATTGGGCCCTGCTGACCTACTGAGTCATCCACTGATGTGGTCATGATTGGTGAAAACACACAGCATGCTTGTAAATCTACTGTCACCTGTTCCCACCTGGTAACAGTGACTACATCCAAAGAGGCTCCAGCCCTGGAAGATTGTTGAGCTCATTCTGCTTGTGAGGCCTTGGCTAATTTGGCATTACAAGCAACAGCATTGCTTTTCCTGCCCCTTTCTGTCACTGATAACATGGCAGTGATAACTAACTTTTGTTGAGGTCCAACTATGCTCCAGGCACTGTTCTCAGAGCTTCACATGCACCATCTCAATTAATTCTCACAACTCAGGGACTACTGTTATTACTTTTTGCAGATGAAAAAACTGAGACATAAAATGTGAAATAACTTGTCCAGTTTCAACATTATCAGGTTAAGGTGAAATTTGATCCCATGCAAAAGTCTATAGAGCAGATGCTTTTACTCACTAGGTGATACATACACCACACAAGGTCAAGACTGCCTAACGGGGGCCAGGTGCAGTGGCTCACACCTATAATCCTAGCACTCTGGGAGGCAGATAGTTTGAGCTCAGGAGTTCGAGACCAGCCTGAGCAAGAACGAGAACCTGTCTCTACCAAAAATAGAAAAAATTAGCCAGGCGTGGTGGCGCATGCCTGTAGTCCTAGCTATGCAGGAGGCTGAGGCAGAAGGATCGCTTGAGCCCAGGAGTTTGAGGTTGTTGTGAGCTAGGCTGATGCCACAGCACTCTAGCCCAGGCAACAGAGTGAGACTCTGTCTCAAAAAAAAAAAAAAAAGACTACCTAAAGGAAGAAAAGAAGGAATAAAACAGCCCCACATGGCAATTTTACCCTACAATTTCAATTTTTCAATGATCATGTATTGCATGTATATTCAGAAAAAAATTAATTCAATTATTTAATAATTTTATTGTCATTCATCATAGATGATTTCCCCCTAGGCATAAATGGACTTCCAGTGTCAGAACTATAAGTGAACCATCATGTCATGTTTAAGCAGACACACAGATTAAAATTAAAAGAAAGACAACATGGTTTCACTGAGTAAACGCAGCCCCATGTAGGAGAGAGAAGAAAAGCACAGATGGTGAAAAGACCAAAGCTCCCTGGAGGAGTCATTCACCTCTGCTGGCTCTGAAGACTCCATGGGGGACACCTGCAGGGGACCTTTACATTCTTAGTAACTGCTCCATATAGTACTACAATCCTTTCCTGGGCTCTGTGGACTCACTATTCTAGTTCATTAATGAGATCCAAAATGAGTCCACTCCTGTCCACTGCAATTGCTTCTTATGGAAAGAAGGGAAATCCTATAAGGTTTTGTTCCAGCTGATTAGTACCTCAATTATCAACAGTGTCATCTCCTTTCTCAAAAGCACAAAGAATCTGACCACTGGGGTGGCATGCCTTACTTTTCTCCTTAGCTAATGCACGATCTTCAATCATATCCAACTCATACTTAATCCATCATTTGGTTATGGTTTCTGCCAACCTAAAATCTCTTCTGGTATTTTCTCCACTACCATATTTGTGTATTCTCTCACCATATAGACTAAAATACTCTGAAGTTGATTGTTTCTATTACTACTTTATGTCCCATCCAAAACTTAATGCAGTGTTAAGCAAGGATTAGTTTTAAAAAAAAATGTGTATGTGTTTTTATACATCAGCATTTCAGAGAGAGAACAGAATCTCTATGCCTTTTTATAATGCGAAATGCTTGGAAGTCATAGGCTCACAACTGACATTTAACCAAGGAGCATAATGCCCAGTGCTACTGTATGCCCAAACACCAAACAAGCTGGGTAAGTCTGGGCTAGCTCCTAGTTTTTCTCACTCTCAGTTTCTTTACTTGAATGGGCTGAACAAAATAAGAAATGACTATTGAGCAACTGAATTTTATATTCAATAAGCAATTACGGAATACCAAGTTCATGCCAAGGACTGTGCTAAGTACAGTGTCAACATCCTATGGTGACATAGATTTGTTCCTTGGCAAATGTCAACATGGGTTCTTATGTGTATTCTCATATTTTTTTTAAAAGCGGTTGTGATTGAACTTTTAGATACAGTACACTTCCCAATGTCTAGATTTTGCTGGGAATTTAAGCATTATTCTCTCCCAGATTTTTAATATTTTTAAAATATTATTCATCATACAAATAGAAATGTTCTTGGAAAGATATTTCAAGAAAGGATGGCAGTAATTGGGCAGATTTGGGTGGGAAGTTATTAGAATTTATTGAGTCTATACTCCATTTATTAGGTTCCATACATATATTCATTCAGTTAGGTATTATTAATCCTGTTTTGCAACTGAAAAAAAAAATCAGAGTGCAGAGAAAGTAATAGTCACAAAATCACAAAGGCAAGGCTTAGAGCCAAGTTTCTTACCTTGACCTCATGTGACTGCAAAGCCATTTAATACATCAGAGTACTACAGTTCTGTGGGAGTGCAATGACTTACTCTGACCATTTCCTGGCATATACAACATTTACCACATTTACTAGTTACCCACTATTGCTTAACTAAAATGCCACATAGCTCAGGTCAAAGTGGCCATGTTTTCTGTTGACTCCCTTTTCATTTGATTGACTTACTATATTTTGCTGCCTGTTTTCAAAACTCTACGACAGCACTCTTGTTGCTAAAGTAGAGCCTGGAGTAGAACTTTATAAATGTTTGGAAGGAAATCAGAAATGCAATAACTGCTTTATTAAGCATAAGAGATTACTATACACTGATTTTAATTAAAACTATGGAAGCTGGGGCGATGGAGAGACAGATAATCCAGATCAGACTGGTTTCTACAAATTCTACTCCCTTCTTGCAGATCAAACCTTGAGAACAGGATAATGTCCCCTGGTATCAAAGGAAATGGCCAGATCTCACAGATTAACCCTTGCAGGGACATTGCACTAACTAAGAAAGTTTTAGTATCACCAGTGCCACCTTCAGGGATATAAATGAAACAGCAAATTTCTCTTTTTTTCAAATGTTTTTAGAATTAACATTAGAGCACGAATATATGCTAATGTGCATTTTTTCATGTATTTTCTACAACAGATATTTTCATTATAATATGTTCCATTACAATGAGCTATATGCTAAGATTTTCTCATGACTGATAGATCTTTAATCCCAACAAAAATATGTGGGGAATTTGTGTCTAATATAAAATAGGTGAGGAAAAAAATGTTGGTTTTTAGATATTTAATTTCTGTCAAATTTGGTTTCAAAAAGGACTCTATCTGGCAAGATTCAAAGAATATTTTTTAAAACTTACAGAAAAACATAACAATGAAATCATGTGTATTTCAGAAATCCTATCTTCTGCCTCCTGCCAACTGTGAAAGCATCTGTAATAAAATTCTTACCTTAATGCAGGTTGAAAATAGATTTGTGTCCCCAGAGAAAAGCTGATTGAAAGAATATGTAACAACAACAAAAAGAAGACACGGAATTCAAT